GCTTTACGAAGTGATAGTGTGTCAATTTAACAAACATCGGTAACTTAGGGCCTAAATAATCCTCGATTGCTTCATTCTTTTGTCGCATATATTTGATATATCTAGAGAAGACATTTTGGGGTTCTATTTTCATATGAAGCTTCGTTGTGTATAACTAATATTAAACGTGACCCTTTCAGCTCGCCGAACGTCTCGGTGTCCCCCTTCTGGAATCCCATGAAGCGGTCTCCAACGAAAAAGGCGTGACTCGTGCTCGCCTTGGAAAGCGTTCCCAGTCGAGTTCCCCCACGACGAACTCTGTGAGCTCTTTTACTCATCAGCAGTAGTTTCGCTTATTCGAAGCTATTCAAACTGTTAGCATAAAGCCGTCATGATCGTTTTTGATTTTTGTTTCAGCGTTCCGCTGCCTCTACTGCCACGGCTGTATCCCCCTCTCCATTCTTTACGGCCAATTCTCCATGTGTCCCGAAAAGCAAGAGAGTGAAGGTAAAGGCCAATTACTCCCGAAGCGCCGCTACCATGAACAGTGGACGTGTAATCCCGGAACTCACCAGCTTCGTTCACCTGCTCCCTGATATGACCCGTGTTGATCCGAAAGGTCAAATGGAACTCTATCAAATCCTGTACGAGAATAGTGTCAGGGTAAGTTTCACTTCTGATTTTGCTGCCCCACTGATTGTACGTAAAAAGATGACAGTCTTCAGCTTTACACATGCTTACAAAACTATCTCTCCCTGTGCGTCTTTGGCACGCCACCACCGATCGAATCCCTAACGCAGGCTGAAATGGTTGCTCGCATATCTGCAACTGACACTGAGGTGAGTTCTACAATAACATCAGATTTCGCCCATCCACCATACATTATTCATCGATTCCAGAGACCGTTGCATATTGAGAATTCCACCATGCGCGACCGCATGGATCAAGCATTTGAGGCTTTATGTGATGAGATGCAATTACCGGAGATATCCGTGCTCCCGGAATTGGTAGGACGGTCGCCCGAAGAGATAGACGAGTATCTGAAGGAGCATGGTGGGCAAGTTTCTGTGGACATGCTCGTCAATGCTCTGAACCTTTATGCCGCTGCTGGATTAAGGTGAGGATGAATTCGATGAATGTCATCCTTTGTAGGGAAACTGATTACTGAACTGAACGGAAATGGTTTGCAGGAAACCACCTACCCGTGCTGTTGAAGGGCTCATGGCTGCTGCCCAGGATGGACCCCCTCAGACAGACATAGATCATCGAGGCGACCCAACCGTTGACGAAGACGCTCGCAATGGCGCGAATCTAGACGGGCTCATACTTCTTGCAAGTTCTGCCGGAGTGAGTTGTGTGGTTTCAAATAAACTGCTCATCCTACTTGTGCCGGTTACTTAAAAGTTCCCCTAAGGAGGCATAAAAATTTTAATAAAGTTATCTGATTATTGGCTTCCACTATCATCCAACAACCAGCTACAAGTCATCGCTAATGGCAGTGTCGGAATAGCCATGTTAAATATGCTTTCTTCGTCGAAATGGGAGCGTAGTTGTTGGTGGTTAACTCAGGAATAGCTCAGAAAAGACGCTGTTGTTTTCACCATGAGCGAAGAGAGACATCTATCTTTTCTTGAGACATCCCTGTACCGCTCTAGCCCTTTTCCAATCCTGCCAACTATTTCCGGTTGAGGGATTTCTCACCATCGGACCTCTTTTTTGATGGACTTGTTTCGGTGCAGTGCGATAATGCATACGGAAAGAGTAAAAATGTAAATAGAAGCCTTTTTTCGTTATAGTTATTGGTTTAAGCATCAGGTAAAGGCAGCGAAACGGATACAAAGAGGTGTAGTGGGCTTCATGGGGACTACCAACGTGACCATCATGACTTCACATATGTCGCACCATGAAACTGACTGATCGCGTTAACCCCGAATCGTAATGTCAAATACAAGAAACTGGTCGATGCAAAATCTCTACATCCCTCTTGAGTATTTAAAGAAACTTCTGCTTTTTTCGAGATCTTTAGTGCTTCTCTTTTACAACGCTAGTTTGTTTTCAGTTGGTCGATTTGCTAGCTATGCTGGTACGTATTCGTGGTTCAACGAATTTTGCCACAGAGCAAGACTGTACCCCTCTGATGGAAGCTTGCGCGGCAGGCAACGTACGAAGTGTCAAATGCCTTCTTGATCTTGGTGCTGACATCAATGCTTATTCCATCACTCAAAACACTCCTTTGATCTACGCAGCTGCTGCCGGACAGGAAAAAGTGCGTTGATAGTTTATGTGTTCGTAGAATTTTGGCTCCTATGCGTTTTTTTCAATCAGGTTGTGCGAATGCTTATCGACAGCAAGTGTAATTTGGACCTACGAAATGAGAATGGGCACTGTGCATTGATGGAAGCCGCTAGCGCAGGTTAGCGGCTAGAGTGGCAGTCATGGCATCTTATCAATTGTTCAGTAGAACTTTTTTTTCATATTTCAGCATAACTGACTAAATAGCAATTTTTTTTTCTTCATTTCATTAGTTTGAGCAAGAATGGATAGCAGGGTTAGGGAAAGTGAAAGCGAAGTAAGCATGGAGGGCTGGCTGAGCGTATTATCAGTACCATCGCATTCTCTCGTTTTTCAGTCGTCTTCCTTATTGGAATCTTATCCATTTCTCTGAAAAGTTTGACATTTTCACAGACCACAAAGCGTTCCTGCCTCAAAACATTTTATCATTGTCGACTGTGATCCGTCACTTCCGCTTTTACAGAACTTTTGTGTTCAGGGCACCTGAACATCGTGAAACTCCTCATCGAATCAGGGGCAAAAGCTGTCTTTGTTAATATGAACAGTGAATTTAAGGTGAACATTTGATAACTATTTCGTTACTCACAGTACGCATTGCCACCAGCTCTTGTTCGAGAGTCTTTACTGGGCTTTGGTAACTCTTCAAATCTGCTTATTTATAGGAGTCACCGCTCACTTTGGCTGCGTATAAAGGCTATACGGATGTAATAGAATATCTTCTATCGTTGAATGATTACGATCGCTCCACTCGTGATGAGGAGCTTCACACGGCATTAATGGAAGCTGCCATGGATGGGCACCTCGAGGTATCGTCCTAATCGTGTCTACAATTATTCTCCAAAACTCATTCGAATACATTGATACATATATTCCGAAAATTCAACTGGGCTAGAATTCGAAACCTTTAATCCTTTTACCTGAGTGAGAGCCTTTCTGACGGCAACAATAATAGTCTTGAGAAGCGACAAAGCACAATGAAAATTCTTTCACGATTTGACCTATTTGATTGAGCGTTTTTTTTTAAACATTTTTCCAAATGTTCCAGACTGTGCGCCTTTGCTTAACCCCAATCATTAAAACGTGGCGGTTGTTAAATAGTTGGACGAAAAAAGCCTATACAAGCCTTATGTCTTACTACAGTCCAACTCAAGGCGGAAAAGCTGTTCGAAAGCTTGTCCAAGTGGCGGGTTGCATGCGAAGAAATGAAAACTTGTGCATGACGTAGGACCCCTGAGTCTGTATTAGATGAACTTCAAATTCCACGAGGAAGTATTCATTCGTAGCCTTCGCCTTCTCTTTCTTTAAGGAGATCGAGTTGATTAGAGTTCAGATGAGAAGAAAAATTCTCCGATTCAGTCAGCAGTAAACTTGTCTACTAAGCTTTCATAATTTTTTAGGTTGCGCGTATTCTGATTCAAGCTGGGGCTCCCGTGAACCTAACAAGTGAGTCTTACGAGAGCCCTTTGACGTTGTCATGCTGCGGTGGGCACGCTGAATTGGTAGGTTTTCCAGGAATTCCGTCTCGAGTTCATTTAGTTTTCTTAGTCGATAAAATGAAATAACTCAAGGCGAAACTACTAATCGATGCGGGTGCGAATATCGAGGAAACCAATGATGAGAACTACACACCGTTGATGGAGGCGGCTAGAGAAGGGCATGTTGTGAGTTCATTTAGTTGTTGTTTTAACACATTTCTGGAAGTCTATTTACATGCATCAGTGATGACCACTGAAATGAGGAGTAACATGGTCAGACACTGATTCAGCTCTTCTCTGGTGCTGATGAAGATATCTCGCTTGGAAAAATCCAATTCTGTCATTTTTTTAGAATATGTGTGAACGCTTTTTTTCAATAGTCAAATCCAACGATTTTTACTCAACGATCGACATTAACGAAATTCAAAGTAGCAGCGATTGATTGTTGTTGTTTGTTACCAATCGCACCGAGAAAAAAACTTACATTTCCAATCGAATGGAAAGTTTAAAGCATGATGTTTCGAACAAGTATCGCTTATGTATTTCTACTAGTTCCCGAGTTATTAAGTAATCTCTTGGACAACCAGGGCAGCAGATAGTTTGTAGTGCACGATTAAATAACAACAGAAATGAATTGAAGTTCTTCGAGTCATTTGCAGCACTCCTCTATCGAAAAAAATAGAAGAAATTCTCAAAAAAAAAAAACAACAGAGGCTTTAACGACTTCGTGTCCTGTCTTTATTCACCATGAAATCTGGTCAAAGCGCGAGCTGTGTCTTGTTACTTTTTTTTTCTTTTCTTACTGTTTCTTTTTCTGAGTATTTTCACTTTAGTCCTCAATTCGATTTTTGTAACACTTGCGCGCCTAAACATGCTGCTTTCTCTGCATTCTTGTGAAGCAGCACGCCTATTGAATCGTTCGATTCTGCCCCCTTTTCGCAATTACTTCTATTTCTCCGAAGGGTACTAGTTAGGCATTCGTAACTACTTGTATTTTAACGAATTATGCTTAAAATGTCTGTTCCAGCACGTGGTAAAAATCCTGCTCGAAAACGGTGCTCAAGTGAACGCAACTACTGATGAAACAATGGAAACGGCGCTCACAGTAGCAGCTTGTGGTGGATTCACGTGAGTGAATTTTTGAATTTGACAGCAAAAAAAACAATCGTATTTCCTTGTACTTTCCGCAGCTTAGGGTGAAACATCGTAACAAGATCAAAAGTGTAGAAAAGAAATACTGGGGGCCTTAGCGGAATGTGCTGCTCAAGTAGCCTGGGTTGTAGATTGTGCTATTTTTCGATTCGATGTATCAGAAATAATAGAAACTTCTGTTTCAGCGAGGTACTAGACGTTCTAGTGAAAAACGGAGGTGATTTGGGATTGGGCACAAATACTCCACTGATGGAAGCAGCCCAGGAAGGGCACGCCTCCACGGTCAACTACATCCTTGCAGCAGTGAAACCAGTACGTGCTGAGATTTTAACTGTAGCTCTATTTTTCATTTCACAAGCCTCACAATCTTTAGGAAGCTCGCTCTGTGAAGTTTCGTCAACAAATGGACCAGGCACTGTCTTTAGCTTCAGAGAATGGACACTTCGAGGTCGTGCAGGGTTTATACTCCAACGGTGCCGACTTGGTACGTATCGTTTCTTATAATAACGAGAGATTTTTTTGTTATAGCTTTCAAAGAGTGACGTTTAGAATTTTGACTACGATGGACGTACTGCTCTGATGAAAGCGGCAAAGAACGGTTTTGTTGAAATCGTAGAGTTTCTTGTGTCAAAAGGAGCTGATGTTCGTTTTTTGTTTTTTTTTACGTTATTGATTTTCAGTGCGACAGAGCCTGTTATTGATATCAGTTCTATTACTTTCAGGTCAACTACAGATCTTCAAATGGAGACGCAACAGCTTTGTCTTTGGCTTGCTCCGCTGGCCATAAAGACATTGTAAAACTCCTTTTGAAGTGTGGTGCAGATCCTAACATCGAACTTAAGGTATGTGTATTTCTGTTCAAATGAAAGTCATGGTGCAATGATTGTTTACAGATCTTGATTTGGGAGTATAATTTCTCAGTCTAGCTTTTTATAGGATGGTGTGACTTGTGTGATGGAAGCCGCAAGAAACGGGTTCGTTAACATCGTAGAGATGATGCTCGATCATAGCGGGGTTTTCCCTCAACCTCCTCGAGTATTACCGAGCGGAACTGTTCCGCAACCAGAAAAAGGTAGTCCTCCCGTTCCTCCTCCTCCACCGCCAACTCCTACAACATCAGCTAAAGTATGTTTTTCTCCAATGAACACATCTTTTTTTCAGATCAACCACTGATATTTGTGTATTTCATCCAGTTGTTGCTCTCTCTTGATATCTTTCCTCTCGTTTATATTAGGACTTAAAAGTTACAGCAGACAGTAACTGCTATGCGTCGAGGAAAGAAATCATCTTCCGGTGCAACTGCTGCTTCTGCTGTTGCTCCTCCATTGAATACCGCTTCTGGTGGCAGCGTTTCCTCACCGAAAACAAGCTGTAATGTTCCTAATCCTGATTCTACGTACGGATTGTCAGGTTTTCCCGGTTCACAGGTGCGTTTTCTCTTATATCCTTTGTTTGTTCCATCGCCCACCAACGAAACTTGAGGGTGGGGGAAGCTGAGTGCACATTCCTTTGGGTACCATGTCGAATCAATTCTTAAATGCTTCTTTTTTCCCTACGCTCTAATGGCATGCTGCTCACCACATGATCTTCGGTAGATTGGTCTTTCTAGCCCTTCTACTTCAGCAAAATGTACTAAAAGTCTATAACTGACATTTNTTTGGAACAAACTGGCTTCTCCGCTCCACATATGATTTTTTCCGGTAGCGATGATGTTGGGAATAGAAAATCCTATTTAGATCATAAGTAATTACATTTGTCTTCTAACAGCTAGCACATAGCGTACAACAAGTGAGTGATTGTTTAAGGCATTCAATTTTATCAGCCTCCTCCCTTCCATGTCCGCATTGTCTTAGTCGGCTAGTAAAGGTTGCTTTCACAAGGTTTTCCGCTGTGGATTGTTCCATTAACTATCCTATTCAGTTTGACTCTTTAAACGCGATAGCAGAATACTTCATGGCTCCTCATGTACACGTACTGTCATTGCCCCTAAGCTGTTGAGGAAAAATTCACTGCTTCTCCCATTTCGCTTTTCGGATCTCACTTGACGCAAGACAGTCCAGAAAGGCTAAAAGCAAATTTGGAAAGGTCAGACGTCCTGCTTTTGATGAAAAGCAAGCATGAATTGAGTGTCGACCGGGGAAGGTTGCTTCAGAACGAGCGCGTCATCTTACTGTGTTCATGTGAAAACGTCAGCCAAATTGCTGGCTGGCTGTAAAGTCATGTTGGCTCGGTGTCAAGTAGGGAAATTGAATTTCCCTGGTGAGAAATGGTAGGAGACTCTGCTTATGTGTTTTACTGGTCACGATTCATCTCCCTGCATTGTACAATATCACGAAAGCTTCATTCGCTGTTTAATTAGCGATATTGTGGTGGAGGGCGTTAGCGGAAACAGAAGAAATATGCTTAAAGCCCATAGTCCATAGTATCAATCTGTGATCGCAGTGTCTCCGTTACTGTGGTTGAGCTGTTTCAGCCTGGGCATTACGTTTCACTCCCTGCAGATTTTTCTAACAGTTCCGCATTAACCTGGTTCGCTTCGTTATTCACTGGTTTGGGTGATGGGACTACACCGGTGAGTGGAGAGCTAGTGTGTCCAGCTCGTCACATTCATCGAAAGCTGCTATTTCAGGCGTTTCCCAATGCTTCCGGCGGTGGTTGCTCGATGCAGATGTCGTCTACACCAACATCTTCGATGTCTGCAGCTGAAATGAAAGCTCGGGTGGAAGCATTCGAGATGCTAACGAAAACATCACCGTTCCTCATGCAGTATCCTCCAAATATGCCGCTTGTTAACCCTTTCGACCCTCAAGCACCGCTGCCTGGTTCTGTAGTCAATACCAATCCTCTTACACTTGCCGATGTTTCGATGCCGTCATTCCAAGAGATGCTGAAAGGTCCTGAAGCTAAGCAGGTAGGTACAAACAATATTCTTTGAATGTTGATTTGACCTTTATTACCGATTTGGGAATGAATTCCTTTAGAATGCTCAACAGTGGAGTGAATACATGCGTAAACGATTTGCGGCTCAAAGTGGTATGTGCGAAAATCTTCAGCAACGTTTTGATGCCATAGCCAATGGAGGTACTGCTATTGTGTTCTGGTTTTCCATTTTTTGTTGTGAAGAGTTCTTTGTAACTCTTCCATTTTAAGATAATCTTTCCATTCCTCGCGCTGCAAGCTTACCTGCTCAATCCACGTCGGCGCCCAGTACACCCGGCATGACAGAAAAGTCCACCGTTCCTGTGGGTAGGACGGTTTCTAACCAGGTGACCCCTTTTAAAAACTTTCAAATAGCATTGCTCTTTGACTGATATTGACCTGCGTCATAGTGAACACCTCATTTATCGAAAGCTGATGATAACGGTCAAAAAGTATTTACAAGTGTTTCATTCTTAATCGGTGCTGATGCTCATTGAATAGTTAGCTATGAGTTATAATATCGAGTGTATTTCAAATCTCAGATTCCATGGAACAAAATACTCATATTCTTAGAATTAAATACCTTTTATTTAAGATACTTCGCCGTGCGCTACCTTCTGTTGCGCAGTCGGTGGGGTTAAACGCGTCAGCTTCTCAGGTGCCAGTCCCACCTGCTCCACCTGCAACACCAGGACTGGTTCCCGCGCCTGATATGGCACCATCGGTGCTTCCTACTGCAGCAGCACCTCCAACGCCCGGTTTCGCCAGTCTCCGACGTGCTCATAGCGAAGGAGATGACCTGGACATTACAAGGTACTATTTTAAGTGTACAGCCGCGTGTTCTGTTCTAGAATTACTTCTCTTACTCAGAGCAACCGCTAGTCAACGAGCCGCATTTAATGTGGATAAGGCAACAGAATCCAATAATGATACACCGTTAACCTTGGCATGTTCGAATGGCCACGCACAAATGGTTGACGTCCTTGTTTGTAGAGGTGCCAATATAGAGCATAGGGATAAAAAGGTAACACTTGTTGAATCGAGGTACATAATTACTCGGAATTCGAAAAATTCGGAGTTTTCTAGGGATTCACCCCGCTAATATTGGCTGCTACGGGCGGGCATCGTGATGTTGTGGAGCTGCTCCTGAACAACGGTGCTCAGATTGAAGCACAGTCGGAGCGCACCAAGGACACAGCACTGTCACTTGCCTGTTCTGGTGGCCGAAAAGATGTGGTGGAACTCCTTCTGAGCAGAGGTGCCAACAAGGTGAGTATGCCTTGATGAATTTTTGGAATAGCTTCATAGCTATTATTTAGATTGTATGCAGCTTGAGTTACACTTGTCATTTCTTACCCTTACCTCTTTCTAGAAAATTTGCGTTTAAGGGGGATGAGCACAAACAGCTGAACATTACTTATGTTTTCTAAGCTGAGTGTTAAAAATTTTCATTAGTACTGATGTGGTATCTATACCAGCTTATCAGTTTTCTAGATGAGACTTGTAAACCCTTCTATTCTCGTTGTTGTCTTTCTCTGGCTATTATATCGATGGTTGTATTTCAAGGAACATCGCAACGTGAGCGATTATACTCCGCTGTCACTTGCTGCATCCGGAGGTTATGTGGAAATAGTTAATATGCTGCTGAATGCTGGTGCAGAGATCAACTCAAGAACTGGAAGCAAAGTTAGTTTTTCGCGGCTTTCTGCTTCCATATTAGGGCGAAATTAGTAGACATATCTGAATCATTTTCTTTAATTCAGCTGGGCATATCACCTCTGATGTTGGCAGCAATGAACGGTCATAAGGAAGCTACAAGGGTCCTTCTTGAGCAAGGATCCGATATCAATGCGCAGATTGAAACGAACAGGTCTAGAAAAATCACTTCGCTTTGCGCTCCTATTTCTACGTTATATTTAACTATTAAAATAATGTCGGATAGCGTTTAAACGTATTGTCAGAGTTGTTAATATTGCAGTTCTTGTCAACCTTTGAAAATGTTACATTCAGGAATACCGCATTAACTTTGGCATGTTTCCAAGGCCGAACGGAAGTTGTGGGACTACTGCTTCAATACAACGCCAACGTTGAACACAGAGCTAAAGTGAGTATTGTGTTATTGCTTCTGTAATTCAAGCAACTGTTCATAGAAAACTCAAAATCTTCAGACGGGACTCACTCCACTAATGGAGGCTGCAAATGGAGGTTATGTAGAAGTTGGTGAATTGTTGCTTGACGCATGTGCTGATCCAAATACTGCGCCGGTTCCATCGAGTCGTGATACTGCCCTCACAATCGCTGCCGATAAAGGTCATGAACGATTCGTCGATATGTTGGTGCACAGAGGAGCTCATATCGACGCTAGAAACAAGAAGGTAGTTTTAAGCAACATCTTACCTGATTGAAAATGCCTGGCGATCACTTGATCTTCTTATAAAACACCGAGAAAGCCTTCGAATCTGGTCCATACGCTGTTGTTTTAGGGCTGCACAGCTTTATGGTTAGCATGTCATGGTGGTCACCTAGAAACTGTACAGACATTGGTGAAGCACGGTGCAGATGTCGATATGCAGGATAATCGGAAAATGTCGCCATTGATGGTGGCCTTCCGAAAAGGTCATGTCAAGGTTCGTGGTAGTTAACAATTCTTTGTATATTTATTTAGGTTTTTTAGTGTTGTTAGTTTTTATTAGGTAATTTGGTCCGGAAGGGTTATTAGCCTTCGCGTTCTTGCTAGTTTACAGCTCTACTCTCAGGTTGTTCAACACATGGTGCAACACGTGCGACAGTTTCCAGGGGACCAGGAACTCTTCCGCTATTTAACAACGATTAGTGAGCCTGTTAGTTTTTTCCTGTGGTGGTTTGTGTAATACTGCAAAGTCTATGTAAACAAGATTAGTCATTTTTTACTTAGGACCTTCTTCGAAATTGCCAAGAATGTATGGATCTCATCGTGAAAGCGAAAAATGCACAAGCTGAAGAGGCAAATCGAGCCGCGGAGAGCCTCCTGGCTCTTTTGGCAGAAGAAGTTTGTTCATGTGTTCGTTTTCTCCTCAGTGAACATTGATTATTTCATTCAAGGAAGAAGCAGCAAGGTCGAAGAAACAAGCGAAGTTGCGTAAGAAGGAGAAGAAGAAGGAAAAGAAAGCAAAGAAACATGATGGCAACGATAAGGAGAGAAGTACAGCGCCACTATCTGATGCACCAGCGCCTGCTTCCAATGCTGAAGAGTCCCCTACCATTCCCCGCGTTAAAGAAGAAAGCGAGGTGTGTAGATGAATGATTCATTCGAACCCAATTTACATGCTTCAGGGTTGAAGGGTAAAGGAACAGCCAACTTTTACATTCGGTGGGTTCTTCCACGTGTGTGTTGGATGTAAGGCGGAGCCTAATGCTCTCACGCTAACGTTCGAATTTGAAGGGAAATAATGGAGTAAAGCGTAGATAGTGTTTAAGCTTAGAGAGCCGACCTTTAGTGGGTTAAACCATCACAATGACAATGTCGTTAGGTCCATTTAATAAGAAAGCTTACGTACCTTGGTGGTTTCGATTACTTGTTCCTGCGACATACCAGCGTCTCATGGTGGTGCGTCATCTGTGTAATAGCCGCCTTGAGTGGTTTCGAAATACCGCGTCATCTCACGCAAGCTGGTGCGGAATTCGTCTTGATTCAATTATTGCACTCTCAAGATAGGGTACGGCAGCCTGATAGATTTATCGTTGCCGATTCTTTGAAATTCCTCAGCTCGGCGGTGTTTAAATCTGGTTTATACGAGCAGAAGGCGGCGGCTTGAGACACTTCTTGAATAAAACGTTCGAAGAAGGTACCTCTGGTTTAGTGCAAGTAGCCCTGAGGGTAGTTTTCCATGACTCAGAGAGGTAATCTTCGCAAGTAAAATGATGGGTTAGCACATTTCTTATCTCTATTAGCCCGCTTTTCTGTGCTGAGGAGTGCAGACGGTCAGAGTACATCGCTGGAGGGCGAAAGGAATGATTAGTGAGCCGCTCCACAGGCAGGAAGACTGAAAGCAGTGCATGTGCCAATGAATGTGTTTCGTGGAAGGATGGTCAAGCAATTAATGCTATTGATCCGCTGTGAATGATCTATTTTTGGCTGTGAACAGAGGTGTGAATTGTAAGGAGCGCTCTGTAATGACCTGGGTTAATATGAGTGACGTACCTGTGCCGATCTGATGTGGTCAATTCCATGTTGCAAGGTCATTCCGTTCTCTTTTGCCAACTCCTGCCCATTTTCCTTACTGACAGTTTTTCATTCCTTCATTACTTTAGTTATTATGTTTGGAAGTTCAACGGTTTCAGCAAGAACCCTTACACAGCAATCTAGTTGATCAGAGCAACGGGGACTGATTAGCTATGTTGATGGACTATATGCTAATCGATATTTTGATCAGCATATAGTTTGCCAAATAAGTGCAATTCTAGTCGGATTTTTTATTAGTAAAGTGTGGTTTGTATAAGCTGTTATAGCATGGAAATAGTGATCCCACTATTATGCTTCATTCTTCCATGCAGAAAGATCGATATGTTAAATTGTCCGCGATAGTAGCTTGTAGTTTAGCAAGCACCGGCTGAAGGACCGTTATTTATGATGAAAGATAACAATTTAGCTTTGCATAGCAACGATCTAGCAAATTAAAGGGGCGCTGCAGTACACTGAGAATTATTGTCACAAACTACCTATTTTTACTTGGAATTTGAAACAGAAGCGGGGATATGAACACCTAATTTTTTTTTCTCAAGAAAACTAGTAAGAGTTTGACAAACTGCGGGTCGTAGTGATTTTGTATATTCGTGGTATTCGTAACACTTTCATTCCTTATTATTCCATTCAGGAGTACTCAGACGACGAATCGGATTCCCTGGCAGTGAAAAAGGAACGATCAACAGTGCCAGTCGATCCGATGGTGAGAAAAAACTTGTTCTCGTTAAAGCGATTTCGAGGCATAAATGATAGTGTTGTGTCATTCATAAGTTTATTGTTTAGACCAATGATCGCGTTCCTAAGATGCGAACTGTAGAAGAGCCATCAGTTGTCGCATCCACTCCTGAGCGGCCAAATCCTTCACTAAACCGGCAGCAAAAACGCTCAGCCAACCGTCGCAGTCGTAACGAAAGCGGTAAAGGTGAGCTGTTGTCTGATAATTTAAAAGGGTTTATCTTTCAATTTGTTAACCTGAACCTAACTTATTTTAAGGTGCTAATGGCCAGTTGCCGAATCAGACGAACAGTAGCGCTGCCTCGAAAGTTGTTCCATCTCCTGTTTTCATCTCAAAGCCAACTCCGCCTACAGATGAATGGGTGAAAGCGAGCAAAAAGACGAAACCTGTGAGAATTTTTTTCATCACTGCGACGAGCTTTACGCCTTTCGGATTGCCTAGTAGCCATTCTACTAACCACGATAATTTTAGTCGAATAAACCAAAAACAGCTAGCAGTAACGTGACCTGTTCTGTAGGGAAAGATTTTTACATGGATGACAGCTATAGTGGTTGGAAGGATGTGGAATTGGTAGGCTGCTTGAGAGTCTTTTCTATGAATCGCATCTAGAAATCCAGGCACTACTACATGTTTGTGTGTATGTGTGTGTGTGTGTGCGTGTGTATGTTAGCAATGAGTCTTCCCTGAAACTTCGACTGCTCACGGTTGATGCTTACCCGTAGAGAATTTAGTGTGTAAAGATATCTGTGGCTTCTAATCGATACAGCAGTTAAACTGAGCCAAATAGAAATAGCAGTCCAGGTTGTTTCGCTTCTTCCATGACTCAGTGACCGGGCTTAGATCAGGTGGCACCATCTAAAAGATCTATAATGCCAAGCCTTATGTTTTCATGCCGACTTCATATCGAATTTTTCTCATCTTGAGGGCAGGGCAGCTATCATGTCATTTTTATTGCAGCATTTTCCTTATTACCGTTGGGACTGTGTAGTAGTTCTGGAATTCTAGATAGCGTCCTTTCCCGCATGCCATTTACAAGTTGTAAATTTTGTTATATGATAGTTTCAGTCACGTCGACGATCAACAACACTCAGTGTCTGTAGCACTGTCATCGCACGTGTGATAGGTCGTGGTGGTGCAAACATCAATGCAATACGTGAAGCAACAGGTGCATCTATTGAAGTGGAGAAGCAGTCAGCTGTGCGGCGTGATCAGCACGATCGACAAATTTGTATCCGTGGGACGCAGGAGACTGTGCGGTGGGTGGTTTTTCAACTTGAATAGTGAATTGCCTTGAAAATCATTGATGAACACAGTTTTTTTCGTAGTTTCAACATATCAAATAATTTTTGCATTAACTGGCCTGTTAGCGCTCTCAGCTGTGCGCTTGTTTTTCGCTTTTTTAACCTTTAACATAACTTATAAAAGTCTTCATTTATCGCATAACGAACTCGTTATCGTAGAAAGGTAATAGGGGGGTGACGTTAGTCCAGTCCGAGTTTTAGGGCGAGGTCTTCCTTCCTTAGTTTTCTTGCACGTGTTTCTAAGTTTTTGGCATGTGTGCCACATCCTTGACGGTTTCCTTTTCTGTTTATCTTTACCTGCATTTTCGGGAAATCTTCTAAAATTGATTCGTCTTCTTTTATTCTATTTTCAGTAGGTTTTCCTGAGCTTGTTTTAGGGATGAGAGAAACATTGGAATTCGTGCAGATATTAGTTCGTCCGTAATTGATGTAAATATTAGTTGTCATAAGAACTGAAATAACCCACACTGAATGCCGGGAAATGTTCTTGAAAATGAACAACATGTACCACAACATGGTATCTTTCCTATGAATTGGAATAGGTAGTAAGCTTAACTGTTCTAAATAAGCTGTTCTAGAACTCCAGTCTTTGGGAGTTCGTAATAAATGCGCTCATGCTGCGCTGAATTGGTCATTTGGTTTATATGCGACTGTCCAATCTTTCGGCTTGTAGTCCTGTAACGGTTTCTCGGTTTAGGAATATTTTCTAATGAGTTTTGTTTTACTTGTACTGCAATCACGTTTATATAAGGACAAATTAACAGACGGGGATGATCTGCATGGGTTCGAGGAGAATCTGGAAATACACTGCTTAGTTCTGACATGGGATGATATCTTGTTTGGCCCCTCACATTCTTATTATGACCTGATGGGGGACGGTACGAACGTGCGTCCGAGGGTGCGCGCGGCAAATTGCGCGGCGAAGTTCGTGACGATTTATACGACTGCGGCCTCAAGTTTCGGGGTACAAACTCGAAACAGTGTAGCCTAGTAGGGTCAGATGACCCTCCTAATCCACTCTATTTCAAATTTGGGCCCCAATAATAGGTGCCAAAGTCGTTCAAATCATTACGAACTTCGCCGCGCAATTGGCCGCGCGTATCCTCGGACGTACGTTAGTACACATACCCTGCCCAGTGCGCGTCGGGCATCGCGCATATGCGTAGAAGCGTTGCCAAATCTGAACACAGCAGCTCCGCCAAACTTAGGAAAAACGCTCTAGAAACAAATACTCAAATAAAAAAGGCAAGCTTGGAAGAGTCCAATGAGTAACATCAAACATGAACCCGATGGTTTATCACAATTATCTGCAGACATGCTCGGGTGACGTGCCCTGACAACGACCGCTACGCAGCCGCCTGTTGTTCTGCAATGCCACTTTGCTCTTTAGGTTCTACTAAACGTGTTTGTACGTCAGAAATTGGCTCGATAAGAAAGTAAGTCGTTCGGCGGGTGTGTATTTTGGCGCGGGTAACGTCCGTTGCGCGCGTCCGTCGAAAATGGGTCACCCCAGCCCACTCCGCGCGCGGTGCAGCTATCTGCTATCTCGAGATGACATTGGCTGCTTTCAGAGTCCGCCGGCCCGCAAGCGCGTGCGCGTGCTGCCCGGCGGCGGCGCTTGTTGACAACACTGGCACATAATCCATCGGTGTCGAGCGTTCCCAGCAAGTAGCTAGCGCCGCAGCCGGCTAGCCGGCCGACGGACTCTGAAGGCAGCCATTGGCGTGTCAGTCGAGGTAGTGCTAGAAGGGAGGAAGAAGGAAGACAGGACGTTTCGACGCGGTCGCGTCGCGCATTATTGGAGTTGATTCGTACCTAGGCGCGAGGCAACCTAATTAGGTAAGAATACACAGAGGTCATTAAAGGGGGACGGTACATTCGTGCGATTCGAGCTGCGCGCGGCAAAATGATCGGCGAAATCATAGCGGTTTTGACGACTTTAGCCTATTATTGGGGCCCAAATTTCAAGTAGAGCAGATTAGTAAGATCAGCTGACCATACTAATCTACTTTAATTCAAATTCGTGCCCCAATAATAGGTGCTAAAGTCGTTCGAATCGCCACGATTCTCGCAATTTGTCGCGCACAATTCGAATCGCACGAACGTACACATACCCCGTTGAAATTTCCATACATCTCCCTCAATAGAGATGGAAGTGAAGAAACTGATAGGATCATTCGAACAGCAAAAAAGAATGTTTGGAGAAAAATGAGCATTTTGAAAAAAATACGGCTACAAAGTGATCAGCTTGGAGGGTTCTTGTCGTGCATAACTTTCCTTGAAGATGGAGAAGCTTCTCCACGACTGACTACTTCAAAAAGTTGAAAAATCCTTGCTTGCATTAAACTCGCTGGAGCTGCTTCGTTCTTATTTTAGCTCTTGTTCAAAGTCAGCAAGAGAGAACCATATTAGCTCTCGCCCGCTGTTATCCCTGGCTGCTTTCATAGTCCACGATTTGGCCCGCGACCGGTCGCGCGATCGGCCAAATCGGGCCAACTCGTGGACTGTGAAAGCAGCCCCTTACCGCGTTTTCATTCAACATATAGATGTGATTTGCTAAACATTATCTTTGAAGGTTAGCTGCTGCTATGCTCCATCCATTTTTTTTGCCGAAATTCTGTTGTCAAATTTACTACTAGCCTGTCTCTTTCATCGCATTATTCATCTGTTCATCACTATACTAGTGAATCGTCGGTTTTCCTTCTCTTACTACACTGCTTCATCTGCTAGCAGATTTGTAGCGACTGTCACTGCAAAGTATCATGCTGCAGGTGAGCCACTGTACAAGTTTTCCTCTTGAGATTTACACAAGTTGTCGTGAGCAGCGGCGTCACAAAAGGGAAGCTGACTTTTTTTCTTCTGGAGCTATGAAGTTTGTATATTCCCGTGCGCTCGCACTAGAACTTACACCCGAATTTTGCCCGGCGCCTATTTCGCTTTATTTCGCAACTACAACATTAAGCTTTTGCGATCTGTTTTTTTGGGTCTGCAGTTAAGAGCATATTATGCTTTTCCTCTTATCTACTATTTGTTGAGACATGCCGAATGGCATATTGGTAGATTTTAAGCATATCTTAACGAAATATGCAGATGATGCAATAGTTTCGCTCTATTGGTGTGATTTGAAGCGGAATATCATCTCCAGCATAGATGCAGTGTTCTTGAATCATATACAAGTATGGTAAGTAGAACTGCTCCATTTGGTTTTGCATGGTCGGTGAATCATCAGTCATAAACAAACAGTTGATATACAGGACCTAGAGCTCCGTATTGAAGTACCAGGCGGCTACGCACGCTCTCGCGCGCGCTAGGGGCTCTAACCATGAGAGACGGAGCCGCATGAGCTGATTTTAATTATAGACCTTTATCGGATTTATGAGTTTCCACTCAAACATCGCCTCCTGTGGGTGGAGTCTGTCCTGCCATTCACCATGAGTGTTCCCATCCTGTCGCCTGTACTCCTACCAAGTTTGAACTTTCTAGTTCCGTGGGGACAGGAGTTACGAATTTTCGCACAAACCCCGCCCCCTGTGGGTGGAATCTGGTTCTACCGCCCACCATAAGTTTCCCCAACACGGTGTCTGTACTCCTACCGAGTTTGAACTTTCTAGGTCCATTGGGACAGAATTATGAATTTTCACCCAAACCCGCCCCTTGTGGGGAGTCCGGTTTTGCCACACACCATAGGTGCTCCCATCCTATCGCCTGTATTCCTACCAAGTTTGAATTTTCTAGGTCCATGGGG